TTATTAATTATTGTATCGAATCAAATAAAATTTATAATATTAAATTTAAATATACCGAATGAGGAACAGAGACAGATAAAGTTCTGTGATGAGTGATAGCAGATAAAAAAGTGATACAATACCAGTTATTTTGGTAATAGTTTAAAATCAGCCTAAAAGTATACTTTATTATTTTTACTATATTTCTTTAATTTTAGACATTGGGAATTTATTGGCTTTTATATTCAATATTTTACAATATTTACAATTTTTAAATGTTTTTTCTTAAAATGTAGCATTTTTTCAGCCTATAAGTATGCAATGATTTATATGATATATTGTAAAGAAAATCTTTTTTCATAAAATTCTAAGTAAATTTATTCCTGTGAGTTGCTACGAAAAAAAAAATATTTCAAATATATAAAACAATTTGAATCAATCATAAAATTGCTACGTAATTTATGACTGGGTGGGTCTAATTAAAATTTTAGAGCAACAGCCTTTAAGTGATCATGTTTAAATCTCAAGAAAAATTAACCAGTGGTATAGAGTTCCTTTGAGGTCGGCTGAGAACGACTTTTTTCTAATTCAAATAATATTTTTCAAAAACGATTTTTTCTGAAACCGCCAAAATTGCCAGCAGACATAAGGGGCATGTTTGGAAATCGACCAGCAACCAAATCGAAAATTTTTTTTATCTTCTTCTCTAAAAATTCTTAAAAACAAATCTTTGAAACTATTTTCAAATATTTACTATTTGAAAATTAAAACAAAACCTTGTGTATATAAGCATCAATGTATGTCCACATGTGGGAAAACATTATGTAAAAAGCTATTTAAAAAATTAGCAAACATTAGTAATAAAGAGAAACAGCTCAAAATACAAAAACAGCAACAACAATACATATGCATATGATTGTTCAACCACCACCACTACTACTACAACAACAATAGCAAAAACAGCATCATAATTGAAGCACCAAACCTCCCACCAGCACCACACAACACCATTTTTAGTAACAAAAAAAGAAAAAGAAAAACACCTACACTTATCAAAGCACCAAAGTAAAAACAATAATACACCCAAGAAAACATTTTCACCAAAAATAAAACAACAATACTACACCCAAAAACAAAAATTCCAACAATCGGAATAGCTAGAGAAACACCTAAAAACAATTCAATACAAAAGGCTTGCCATAAAAACCTACAGCTTGATTTTTTAATATGATTTTCTAAATTTTTGATTTATGAAATATTATTTTGATTTTTTTTTTTTTGATTTGTACAAAAAAAATATTTTTTATGTGATTTTTTTTGTTATATAAATTTGTTAGCTTTTTAAAAAAGACTTTCAATGTTATGTGGTATGCAAACAAACCAACACAAAACTATAAATGTGCGCAGCATTTCGTATCATCGCATTAGAAATAAAAAAAAACAAAACAGACAAACAACAACAAAATTCAAAGATAAAAACATCCATGATAACTGAAAATAACAACAACTTTAACATTTATATATATAACTCAACTAACTTTTCATCTTCAAACCCGCTGTCTTATATATAAATACATACTTACATACAATATGCGTTATACAAATACTCATTATCCATATGTATATGCGGCAAAGCAGCCTATCAGACCAAAAAACAAAAACTGCATTGCAAAATTTTATTTCGCTATAAATATAGAAGAATGGAAATCAACAAAACAGAAAATTCTAAAACGAATACCAAAAAACAAACCTCCTCTCTCAAAAATATATCCTTCGTGATCCTTGACACCAAAAACGCTTCCTTTTCTCCTCATCCTACTCCCTCCCTCCTTTAAATCCTTTCACATTCATTTATTTTCATTTCATTTTATTAATTTATCATTTTCTTTTTTCGTTGTATATAAACAAAGTAGGTTAAAGGTTGTCATAACAAAATTTATTACTACAATTACAAAAAGTTCATTTAATCGGAACCTTACCTATTCTTTCCTTGGCAACCTCTAATCCTTTGTTTCAACTTGCATGCTCTATATATATAAAAATTAACTTTTATGTTTATTATTAATCTTTTTTTAGTTATTTTTTTCCCATCAACTCACTTTATGTTGTCCCATTTTTTGCTTGAGTTCATTATCATAGTATATAAGCTTTTTCTGTTGTAGAAATTGTTGCTTTATAGTATATAAGCTTATAATATAATGTGTTTACAAATCTATAGTTTACAGCAAAAACAATTGTTTAATTATTTGTGGCAAAAAATAAGGTGAAAATAAATTAATTTCCTATTTAATGGCATATTTGTATTGATAAAACAAAAGACTTAAGACACAAGCATTTGTGTGCTGTTATTAATGGAAAACATAAATCTCTTTAAGAGAAAAATCAAAAATAATGAAACAAACGACTTAAGACACAAACATTAGTTTGCTTCCATTAATGGAGAGAGTAAATGTAAACATTAGTTTGCTTCCATTAATGGAGAGAGTAAATGTTATTTCTCTCTCTCTCTCTGTTCAAATGCAATTATGATCATGAAGACTTAAGACACAAACATTAGTGTGATGGTATTAATGGAGAGAGTAAAATTACTCTTTAATGTTATCTCTCTCTCTCTCTGTTCGAATGCAATTGTGATCATGAAAGACTTAAGACACACGCAGTTATGAATAACAGTTGAAGAACGAAATAAAAGACTTAAGACACAAGCATGTCATTGATGGAGAATGTTTTCTCATTAAGAGAAAAATAAAAAATGGTGACACAAAAGACTTAAGACACAAACATTATTGGAGAGAATAAAATGACTATTTAATGTTATCTGTTTATCTGTTCAAGTGCAATTGTGATCATGAAATACTTAAGATACATGCATTTTTTTTTTTTTTTTTTGAAATAAAAGACTTAAGACACAAGCGTTTTTTTAATTTCAGTGATAACTGAAAACAATCGACTAAAGACTTAAGACACAAGCACTGACAAAGACTTAGGACACAAACTCAAATATGTTATTGCAAAGGAAGGAAAAGACTTAAGACACATGCAGTTATGACTAACTGTTGAAAAATGAAATGAAAGACTTAAGCCACAAAAACTGGCAAAAACTTAAGACCCAAACTCTTATGTGTTATTGCCAAAAGACTTAAGACATATACGGCCATGGACAGATGTTTTGGTGAAAAATAAAAGATTTAAGACACAAACATAATGTTTAATTTAAATGATTTGGGCTTTCATAGATAAATTGTATTAAAATTTAAAACTTCGACATAAAATCTCTTAAATACTAAAATTTTCTCATAAAAAAATTAAAAACTGAGTTAACATGTAAAAATGGATAACCGGATGGGAAAAATTTAATTGAGATATTATCAGCATTGCTTTAAGGTATCCAGTGTTCAAACGGGTCTCCATCCATATTTGTATAACGAGTAATTGTAACTTAATTCGTCTGAAAAATAAAAACCCTAAATGTGCTCTTAATTTGGTTGAAACAGCAAAATACAACCTGAACAGACCCACGCAAAAATTACTTCATTATATCCTATCCTATATATAAATTGAAATTGAAGGAAACAATTCTTAATATGGGCGTATGGGTTGATATATTTTTACAATAACATTTTAAAGACATTTTTTAATATTTCTTTTTTTTTTGCAATCACCAAAACAGTATTTAATAAAGAACCTAAAAATTTATATTTACTATTTTTTAATAAAAAAATCCTATTGAGAATCTGTATTCAAATAATTTCGATAAATTTTTAATATTAAGAATTAATATATTCCATGGATGTAAACTCAAATGATTTTAGTAATTTTTAAATAATCCCAATTAATTTTTTTCCATGAATGTGTTCTTATAGTCGTTTATATTTATACAAAATATGCCAATATTTAATTAAAAATTCACAAAGAATATGTAAATAACTCGTCAACAATTTTGCTGTAAACCGTAAGTAAATGCATTAGAAACGAAATAAAGTGGTTCCAGAAAGATTAGAAAAAAATAAATATGTTTATAATTATTTAAAATATAAATTAAAAATTACAGTTAATTAAAAAATAAATATATAGAAAAACATTTGGAAAGTTAATCTAAAAATTTAATAAATTTCAACAATTGTGCTATTTTTTAAATTAATTTTAATTTTTTGGAATTAAAAACAAATAAAAAAATAAAATTAAATAAACAAAAATTGTTTAAAAAAATTTAATTTTTTATTAAAATAAAAAAAAATCATTGAAAATACAAAAAAAAAAAATTGCTGAGACATGAATTGTTATGTTTTAATGTTTTTTTTTTAATTAATAAGATTTATAAAACCATCAACTTAAATTAAATTGATTATCAAATATAAAAAATAATTATTTTACATTAATAAAATTACAAAAAAAGAAATAATTAGAACAATAATATTAATAAAAATAATTAAAATTAAAATTATTTAAAAAACTAAACTTTTAAAACTATTAATATTTGATTAAATTAAATTGATTAACATTTACACATCTATTTTACTATTTTATTTAATGAAAAATATTAAAGAAAAAAATAAGTAATTAAATAAAATAAAAAGATAAATATTAAATATTTATATTTTAAAATAAATTATTAACAAAATTAAAATTAAGGAAATAATTACAAATTATATTTTTTTAAAAAATATAAAAAAATAATTATATAATTAAATATTTATATATACTATAATTATTTAATTAATTTAATTAAAAAAATTATCAATAAAAAATTACAAAAAATAATTAAAATAATAATATAATTTAAAAAATTTAAATTAAAAGAACATTTAATACTCAATTAATTTTTAAATTTAATCTGAACCACTTTATTGCGTTTCCTATAGTCTGTCCGTAAGTCCGTCTATTGTAAAAAAATACCACTACCGCATGCTTTATAAAATTACAATAAATAAATACCTAAATTATGAAAATCGTATTAACATAAACTATTTTTTTCTTCAACAATTCAAACACTTCTTCTCAACAATGAACAAAAATAACAGTACCCCCAAGATGGATTTTGGAACCCACCGATAAGGCTTTTGCTCAAGGCTCCGATGCTAAGGTTGAATGCAAGGCTGATGGCTTCCCAAAACCACAATTGACATGGAAGAAAGCTGTTGGTAAGTAGGGCAAAAAATATATAAAATTGATTTAAATTTCAAAATTGTATTTGAATCTTTTAAAAAATGTTAATATTGACCCTAATATTTTCAAAATCCCTCTCCTTTTAAATAGGCAACAGTCCCGGTGAATACAAGGATTTGAAGAAGAACGATAACATTCGCGTTGAAGAAGGTACTCTGCACATTGACAACATCCAAAAGACCAATGAAGGCTATTACTTGTGTGAGGCCATTAATGGTATTGGTTCCGGATTGTCCGCCGTTATTATGATCAGCGTTCAGGCACCACCAGAATTCACTGAGAAATTGCGTAACCAAACCGCCCGCCGTGGCGAACCTGCCGTCTTGCAATGTGAAGCTAAGGGCGAAAAACCAATTGGCATTTTATGGAATATGAACAATATGCGTTTGGACCCTAAGAACGATAACCGTTATACCATTCGTGAAGAGATTTTGTCTACCGGTGTTATGTCCTCGCTTTCGATTAAGCGTACTGAACGCTCTGATTCTGCCTTGTTCACCTGTGTTGCCACCAATGCCTTTGGTTCGGATGATGCTAGCATTAACATGATTATTCAGGAGGTACCCGAAATGCCATATGCCCTGAAGGTTTTGGATAAATCTGGACGTTCCGTACAATTGAGCTGGGCCCAACCCTACGATGGCAATTCACCAATTACCCGTTATATTATTGAATTCAAACGTTCTCGTGCCTCTTGGGATGAAATTGATCGCGTTATGGTACCCGGAGATACCACTGAAGCTCAGGTCCAGAAATTGAATCCAGCCACCACATATAATATTCGTATTGTTGCCGAAAATGCCATTGGAACCTCGCAGACATCTGAAGCTGTCACTATTATCACTGCCGAAGAAGCTCCATCGGGTAAACCACAAAATATCAAAGTGGAACCTGTTAATCAAACTACCCTGCGTGTTACCTGGAAACCACCTACCCGTTCGGAATGGAATGGTGAAATTTTGGGTTATTATGTTGGCTATAAACTATCGAATACCAATTCGTCGTATGTCTTTGAAACTGTGAACTTTTTGACTGAAGAAGGCAAGGAACATAGCTTGGAATTGAATAACTTGCGTGTCTATACCCAATATTCGGTGGTCATTCAGGCATTCAACAAGATTGGCGCTGGTCCCTTGAGTGATGAAGAGAAACAATTTACTGCCGAAGGTACCCCAAGCCAGCCACCAAGTGATACCTCATGCACCACCTTGACTTCGCAGACAATTAGAGTTAGCTGGGTCAGCCCTCCTTTGGAATCGGCCAATGGTGTTATTAAGACTTACAAGGTTGTCTATGCTCCCAGTGAAGAGTGGTATGGTAAGTAGAGGGGGAGGAGGGGAAATAAAATGTGAAAGGGGTATTGATAATAAAAATATAATTTATTTAATTTTCCTCAGATGAAACCAAACGCCACTACAAGAAGACTGCCTCCTCGGACACCGTTTTACATGGCCTCAAGAAATACACCAACTATACCATGCAAGTTTTGGCCACCACTGCCGGAGGTGATGGTGTACGCAGCGCTCCAATTCACTGCCAAACTGAACCTGATGGTAAGTCCAATAATTATTTTTTTCATATCAATCTTTTCTAATTTAAATCCCCTTCTTTCCCCACACAGTTCCTGAAGCTCCCACCGATGTCAAGGCCTTGGTTATGGGTCAAGCTGCCATTTTGGTATCATGGCGTCCACCAGCACAACCCAACGGCATTATCCAACAATACACCGTCTACACTAAAGTTGAAGGAGCCGAAGGTGAACCCAAGAGCCAAAAGATCCCACACTACCAAATGAGCTACGAAGCCACCGAATTGGAAAAGAACAGCCCCTACGAATTCTGGGTCACAGCCAGCACTAACATTGGTGAAGGACAACCCTCAAAGAGTATTGTTGCCATGCCCAGTGATCAAGTTCCTGCAAAAATTGCCTCATTCGATGACACATTCACTGCCACCTTTAAGGAAGATGCCAAAATGCCTTGCTTGGCTGTCGGATCACCACAACCTGAAATTACCTGGAAGATTAAGGGTGTTGAATTTACCGGAAATGATCGTATGCGTGTGTTGCCCGATGGTTCTCTTTTGATTAAATCGGTCAATCGTCAAGATGCTGGAGATTATACTTGTCATGCTGAAAATTCTATTGCCAAGGATTCGATTACCCATAAACTGATTGTTTTGGCTCCACCCATGTCGCCTCAGGTTACTTTGTCTGCCACCACCACTGATTCATTGACTGTTAAGGTTAAGCCCCATGAAGGTGATACTGCTCCTCTGCATGGTTACACATTGCACTACAAACCAGGTGGGTTTCAGGGATCTAGAAAGGAGGAAAGTATATCTAAAATATTTTATTACTTTTTGTTTTTGCAGAATTCGGAGAATGGGAAACCGCCGAAGTTGCCGTAGATGCCCAAAAATTCACCATTGACAATCTATTGTGCGGTTCACGTTATCAGGTCTATGCTACTGGATTTAACAAGTAAGGAAATTAATGAAAATATATACAATCGAACTTCCATGACTCGAACCACCATCGATCCGAAAAAAGAACTTAAATTTGAAATTTTAATTTTTTTATAATTTTAAGTAATTTTTTCATATACTTTTATTGTTAATTTTTTCCCTTTAGCATTGGCGCCGGCGAAGCATCCGACATCCTGAACACCCGCACCAAGGGCTACAAACCCAAACTGCCAGAGAAATCTCGTTTCATTGAAGTCTCCTCGAATTCGGTATCATTGCATTTCAAGGCCTGGAAGGATGGCGGCTGCCCCATGTCTCACTTTGTTGTAGAAAATAAGAAACGGTGAGTATTATAGTATTTAAAACTCGATATTAATTTTTTGAAATCAATTTTTGAAATTAAAAATTAATTTCGAAAATTCGAACTTAATATTTTTTGAAAAATTACTTTATACACTTTTTAAATATTTTAAAATTTATAAAAAACTAAATTTGAAAATTCGGTATTAAATTTCGAAATTCAAAATTAATTTCGAAAACTGAAACTTCCAATTTTTTGATGAAAAATCACTTCAAACACTCTTCAAATATTTTAAAATTTATAATTTTTGAAAAAAAACTAAAATTGAAAATTCGAAAATAATTTTTAAAATTTGAAATTTATTTCTAAAATTCAAAATTTGTATATTTTGATGGAAAATCACTTTACAAACTCTTAAATAATTTGTAATTTAATTTATAAAATTCGAAGTTTATATTTTTTGATGGAAAATCATTTATACACTCTTTAAATATTTTAAAAATTATATTTTTGGGAAAAACTTTAAAATTGTATATTAATTTTTAAAATTCGAAATTAATATCGAAAATTCGAACTTTATATTTTTTGATGGAAATCACTTTACACACTCTTTAAATATTTAAAAAATCATAACTTTGGAAAAAAATTAATTAAAAATTATAAATTCGAAAATTCGAACTTAATTATTGAAATTCGAAATACATTTCGAAAATTCGGAGTTTGTATTTTTTGATGGAATATCACTTTATACTCTCTTCAAATATTTAAAAAAATTTAATTTGGAATAAAATAAACATTTTTCAGTAATTTTGAAATTCTTTCATTATTGCGTTAATTATTTTATTTCGAAATATAATTTTAAAATTTATTTTTTTATATTCGAAACCATAAATAAATATATAATTGTAATTTTGGAAAATTCAAAATAATTTGTAAAAATTCCATCTTAAATTATTTTTATAAAAAAAACTAAATTTGAAAATTCGATATTAAATTTTAAAATTCGAAATTAATATCGAAAATTCCAATTTTATATTTATTTGATGGAAGTCACTTTACACACTCTTTTAATATTTAAAAATTTATAATTTTGGAAAACGATTATAAAAATAATAATTTGGAAAATTCGAACTTAATTTTTGAAATTCGAAATACATTTCGAAAATTCGAAGTTTGTATTTTTTGGTGGAATATCACTTTATACTTTTTTTAAATATTTAAATAATTTTAATTTGGAAAAATAAAGAAAATAAAGAAAAAATCAGAAATTTTGAAATTCTTTCATTGCTACGAAAATTGTTTTATTTCGAAATATAATTTAAAAAAACTTATTGTTTTATATTCGAAATCATAAGTATATAACTGTAATTTTGGAAAATTCAAAATAATTTTAATAATTTATTTTTATAAATTATTTTGAATTTCTTTAATTTTTTTTTAAGTTTCGAAATTAATTTCGAACTTAGTATTTTTGATGGAATATCACAGTGAAAAAATAATTTCAAAATAATTTGTAAAAATTATATCTTTAATTATTTTTTAAATTTAATTTAAATTAATTTCGAATATTCGAACTTTGTATTTTCTATGGAATATCACAGTGAAAAATGTTCGAATATTTAAGAAATGTTATTATATATTCGATATTAATTTCCTCTTTTCGAAATAATTAGATTCCATCACAGTCGGTTTTTTTTAAATTTCAAATTCATTTCGAAAATAGATTATTTTTTTAAAATGCATTTCAATAATAATTTGTATCAATAAATATTTTCTAATACTATAATTTATATTTATTTTTTAGTTTTCTTAAAGCTTTATGAAATTTTATTATGTTCGAATAAGATGTTCGAAAATTCAAACATTTAGTTTTTAAAATTTATAAAATAATATTATTGGGCATTATGTGTTAGAAGGCTAATTTCTCAAATTCGAAATTATGAAAATGATGTTCGAAAAATTCGAACATTTTAATTATTATTTTTGTTATAATTTTTGATGTAAAATTTTTTACCACTTTTGTTTTTTTATTAATTTTATATTTAAAAAATTTTAGCGACCAAATTGAATGGAATCAAATTTCGAATAATGTTAAGCCCGATAATAATTACGTTGTATTGGATTTGGAACCTGCCACTTGGTATAATTTGCGTATCACTGCCCATAACTCTGCTGGTTTCACTGTTGCCGAATATGATTTTGCCACATTGACTGTTACTGGAGGTATTTATATTCTGTTTTCCAATTTGATAATGATATTATTTTTCAAAAAATAAGAGATGGAGGATATTTTAGGTACCTTTCGAAAAAAATGGGACCTGAAATAACTTCACTCTCAATCAAATGTAAAGACATTGCTTTTGTACATAATGTTGATACTACGTGAAAAATATTTAAGGTTTATGGAAATAATTTGGAAAAACAGTTTACTAAAATATTAATTAATGATTTTATATTATTGAAAAAATATTTTTTTTAAATTTCCATAAACCTTAAATACAAAAATATACAAATAACAACAAAAAAACATTTTCTTTCCACCCGAAAGTAAAGCTACACCTGCTTCAATGTAAAGAAAATACATTTTGAAAAAAAATATAATTTTTAATTATGATTTCTTTTTTCGTTTTCGTTACGCTTCTTTATCTGAAATGAAAAAAAAAGGTTTTTAGGTTTTTTAAGTGTGTAAAAATATTTTTTTCGGTTTTTATAGCACTGTATAAAAGATTTTCGTTTTTTAAAAAAGCTTGTTGAAATTTTCAGTTTTCTTGTAAATTTATTAAAACATTTTTCATTTTTATTTTTTTTTTTGGAACTCTAGTGTAATCTAAGTTTTTGTAAACAAGTTGTGAAAAAAATGAAAAAGTTCTATAACCCAAAAAAAATTATTGCGTAAATGCAATTTGTTTTTCCCCACTGTTGATAAGTAAATGAACGAAAAAAAAGTAAATAACCAAAAAAGTTTTAAGTAGTATTTTAGTGAACATCTTTGCTGCTTACTCTAGTGATGAGCACCATTATTTTTTATTTTTGAGTTATTGTTTAGCTGAAAAAATAAAATCACCTACACTGAATGGTCTGAATCGTATAGTTGTAGTTGATTTATAATTTGAATTATTTTTTATTTAATTTTTTCGTATTTAATTTCAAACATCATGGTTTTTGTTTTTAAAACCACTTAGTGTTGAAATGAAGTGCAGTACTCGTTTATATAATAATATCCCCTCTGAAATGAATATTATTCCCCGCATCACCTATTGTGATTATATACGCCAAAATAACTGTGTGTATGCATAATAATGTGTATGTATTTGTGTTGTATTAAAAATGTGATGATGATAGATAATGATTATGGCATGTTGTAAATCACAAAAGCAAATAATTGATATTGATGTAAAAGGCCAAAACAAAAATATAGAAAATGATATTTTTGCATAGGTTGTGCTGTAAAAATATACCAATTTTGAAATTACTAGAAATATTTGATGTCATAGAAGATAATTAAAATGTTATAAAATTAGAAAATATGACAACCTCAATTATAAAATATATAAAAATATTTCTTTTAAATTTTGAAATATATGAAGTTTAAAAAATATAAATATTTCAATATTAAACGATATTTATAAATAAATTTTGATGAGGTGATTAAAAATGTTCATCCTGGTGTGATGCCATTTAATAAATACTGAGTCAAGCTTTTATTCTGACAGTCCTCCAAAAATAATTTTTTAATATACAAACAGTCCTTAAAAAAATCATAATTCAAATTTAATGGTTTCATAGTCCTTGAACAAACTATTTTTTAAAAACTAATAGCTCTTAAAAATTCTTATTGATCGTAAAAATTATTTTTCATATATCGTCCATACTTAGTATCCCTTAGTCACCCCGAAACAAATTTAAAAATCCTGATTGCCCGTCAAAAAACAATCCTTACTATCTTTCCAACTATAAATTAAAAAAATCTTTCAAAATGTCTTAAATTAAAAAAGTCCTTACAATCATTCCTAACAAATTGTAATTCTCCATAAAATAATTTGACAAACTCCTGATAAGCCCTTTGAAATCATAATAAAAAATATCCTGTTAGACCTCTAAAAATTGCATATAAAAATGGCATCCATTTGACTGATCTTCATGGCATTTACCCTCGCGATATTTGTTCTCAACATAAATCAAACAATTAAAATTTATCACAAAGAAAAATATTCTGTTTTAAGAAAAATGTATCCTCCAGAAGCCAACTGAATTCTTAGGGAAGATGTGCAAAAAAGTATGAAACATTCTATTAATAGTTTTCAATTCCAAATGCACTTAATAATACATCCAGTGTTCGAAGTTTAATACCCGTAGAAACGTGAAGTTTCTTATACGCACTAATAGACCGCTGAATTATGAATTCAACACTCTTCAAGGGCACAATCTGATATCGAACTTACATTTTTTTCTGACATTGTGTTTATTTTTATTAACATAAGCTTAATTTTTTTGGAAACATCATGTCTTTGCTATTGATTTTATTTGAGGATCGTAAATTCCCAAAGTAAATTTATATGCCATAGGATGCACACTTTGTCATTATTCGTATAAACGTTTTGGTCCATTTAACAATGTACCGCGATATTCATTCTCAGTATTATTGCTCGAGAATTCTTAGGGAAGACGTGAAATAAAGTATGAAACTTTCTATAAATAGTTTTCAATTCCAAATGCCTTTAATAATGCATCCAGTGTTCGAAGTATAAAACCCATGGAAACGTGAAGTGTCTTGGCAGCGTATAATTAACAACAATACTCATACGCACTGATAGACCGCTGAATTAAAGAAATATACGTTTTTCAACACTCTTCAAGGGCACAATCTGATATCGAACATATTTTTTTTGACATCGTGTTTATTTTTTAACATAAATTTAATTATGTTCATTTACGTTTTTCAACATTCATCAAGGGCACAATCTAATATCGAATTTTTTTTGACAATTGTTTTGACATCGTGTTTATTTTTTAACATAAGTTTGATTATGTTCTTGGACATATTATGTTTTTGCTATGGATATTCTTTGAGGATCCTGAGTTCCCGGAGTTTGTCATTATTCGTATAAACGTGTTGGTCCATTTAACCATTTACCATCGCGATATTCATTCTCAGCATAGATCAGTATTATTCCTCCAGAATTCTTAGGGAAGACAGCAATACTCATACGCACTGATAGCCCGCTGAATTAAGTAAAATTAATTAAAGAAATATACGTTTTTCAACACTCTTCAAACTTCGGATAATTATTATAAAAAACCTCAGTATTGGAATATATCCATGGGTTTATATTGCGTATTAGTAATGTCAATACGTACACGCACCAATCAACAGAACTTTTTGTAATATGTAAGAGATTTTGAATAATTTCTTTAATAAATTGTATAAAAAATAAATGCGTATTACTTTAGCCCAAAGCCTTACCATTCTGATAATAAAATGAAATGTGCTTACTGCACAGTAACTTAAAACAGTCGTACTGCATTTCGTATCTTCGGAATATCCGGGTTTATAGTCTTATAACAATAATTATTATTCAAACAATAATTAAAATATCCTCCAAAAATTAAAAAAAATATATTTCACAAAATTAATTTTTAAAAGCCACAAGCTTTTGTGTACTGTGCCTTCAAATCTAATTTCAGAAAATTGGTACAAGTCTTCAAAAAAAAAAAAAAAACACAATGACGATTATAGGTTTATAGTCCTTTTAAAATTATTTTAAAAAATCTGTAAGCTCATCAAACAATTTTTTATTTTTGTTAAGAACCGATGCACAATGATATACACTGTCAAATATTTACAGAACTCCCACATCATGCACAAAAATATAATTCTGACAATTAGAAGTATCCAACCTCTTGTGCGTATTTAATGTGTTAAGGACCAAAGTCTCAAAGTTATATTTTTTTAATGCAAATATTTGTTAAAAAAAATAGTTGTATGATAAAATATATACTTTTCGATTAAAAAAAAATTACGCTTTATTAAATGTTCTAGAGTAAACATCGTCGTTTTAGAACATACTGAAATATTATAAGTATAAGTAACGTCATCGCTTATACGCACCACTGAGCCATTTAAAAATAAATAGAAATAAATAAAAATCCTTAAAAATGTATATGCATATTTTTTGTTGCTGTAATTTTTTCAAATGACTGTGAATATGTCGTAGACGCATAAAAGAAGCTTGTTGTACATTAAACAAATATATTTAATGAGTTATTTTAATCAAAGTGCGCATTTAATGTGTTATTTTAATTTATTTCTCTTTCGAGATATTATTATACAAGCAACAAATTCTTATAAAAAACATTTTGGGATATTAAACGAGTACTTAATTTAACCAAAAATATTTTCAACATTATATGGTTTAAAAAAACATATCACGTATTTATTATTATACACAGCTAAATATAATTTTAATTTACATTATTATTTCATATTCATATCTCTATAATTTTGCATTATTTTTAGCAATTTATTATTTTCATTTAATTTTTATCATTTAAAAAGAAAAAAACTACACATTTTTATTTCACATTAAAGAAGATGAAAATGAAGAAGAAAAAAAAACTACAGAGCAAAGTTAAGAAAGCATACTAATTTAATTTCCACAAAAAGAAAAAATCATATAAACATGGGGTTTATTAAAACTGCTATTATATCTGTTATTATTATGATTATAATTTATTTTTCTTAGCCTGCAACAACCAAAGTTTAAAATCATCTCAGATTAAAAAAAAAACAAAAATATTATTATTTTTGTACTTTCAAGCAAGAAAAAAAATCAAACTAGCAAAGCAACATCCAAAAAAACAAAACATAAGAACAGTTTATTTCGTTTTTCAATTAAGTTTTAATTTTTAATAATGATATTTGTTTAATAATTTTAGTTCAGTTAATTACTCAATTTTTTGTTTACGTTTCCATCCAATTAAATTAAAATTTCAAAATTAAAAAAATTACCTTAAAATATTAATTAAACAAAACCAAAAAAAAAAAACATCAACATAAAATAACTAGTTAATTAATATTCTATTTTAAATAAAATAAACTTACTCAAAAATATTACCTAGTACTTGTTATGGTTATGTTCTTAAAATAATATAGAGTTACATTTTTATGGAATGTTGTTACTATTTTTCATCAATTATAAATTAACTTAATCAAACATTCATTCATATGCGCGCCGCTTTAAAAAAAATACGAATTTAAGGATTACCAAAAAAACAAATTGCATTTATAGTTAATTAAAAAAATAATTGAACTAATACATTTTCCTAGAACTTAAGTTTACAAATTTTTAAGATTTACTTTCCTACTGCCGTTCATGTAAAATAAAATATTACGTTCTTTTTAGTATTCATCACTTTTCAAAATTTTGTTCCATACACCAAATAACGTTAATTATGCCTTTTAGAGTTAACTATTTAAAATAATTAATAAGTTGTTTCTTTAAAATTACAAAAAATCTATACAATAGAGTGAATTTCAGGGGCTATGTCTTCAATTTTTATTGTCAATATTTTTATATTTCAAATTATTTTTCAGTTTTTTATTTAATTTTCCCTTTTCTATCAATGCAAGCATGGATGAAGTAATGCATGCCTATTTAATTAAATTGTACACGTGTGCGTATAAGTATCGTCAACACTTGCACGCAACAGGTCCCATAATACAGTATGGAATATGTGGCGTATAAGTGTTGTCGGTACTTATACGCACACGTGTGCAATTTAATTAATTAGGCGTGCATTACTTCATCGATGCTTGCATTGATAGAAAATGTAGTGTATGATTACTTATTGTTGAAAATATGAGTTTAAATATTCTAAGGATTGTAGAAAACATTATTTCGAGGATACAGTCGATTCGAGAAAACAAAAATCGTCCATTCCAAACTTTTTTAAATAATTTGATTCAGTTCTCCAATAATTACAAATTTCAAATGCAGTTAAAAGTTCTTGACCAATACAAAAACGTCACTAAATATTGTTTAAAATTTCTTCATTATAACTAACTTCCCTTAAATAATTAGATTTTCAAATACTATTTCGATTTTACCTCAAATTGCATCATATTTATCCTGAAGCTAGATCCAAAAAATATTATAAAAAACTAAAGTTCCCGGGAGCGTATAAATAACAACCACACTCATACGCACTAATAGTAAAATGAAGTGATTGCAGATTCTTCAGAAACTTGAGAACCTAAATCGAGATCACCGATATTTTAGAGGGAGTTTAACTTCTCGATCTATTTTTTAGCCTTTTTGTTGAAGACTGAGAAGAAAATTTCTCTGTTTGATAATATTTCAATGCTCTATAGATTTTTGTGCGTATTAGTAATGTCAACACGTATTCGCACCACTGAAAATCAACATTACTTGAGGATTTCTTAATAAAACAAAAGGCAAAATAGTCCTACAGAAGCTACAGGGTTACGTCAGTTTAAATTCGCCTTTATAAAAGTCGTAGTACATCGAAAAATATTTGAAGGCTCCGGAGCAAATGAGTTACGTCAATATGTCTTCGTCTCTTTGGATATAGAAAATAAATAGTTTTTTTTTTTGACTTCATGACATTTATTAAATTTTTGAAAACTTGTGAATTATTTTCAAAGGTAAAAAGTAGACTTAAAAGTGATCTAGAGCGTATGAGTTACGGCAATATGTATTGGTTCCTATAGACACAGATAATAAATAATTTCAACTAGCCTTTTCAAGGTCTGCTAACAAATTTCCATCTTCAAAATTCACGAATTAGTACTCTTTTTAAGGCAAAGAATAGGTTCGAGGATCTCTACAGTGTATGCGTAATGCCAAAACTTATTTGATTCGGTTACTGAAATAAAATTAGTCTTCAAAGGCTAGTAAACTAAATTCAAAGATAAATATAATGTTCACCATAGTTCTGGAGCCAATTATTCGACTTCAAAGCTCTTAAAGACTTGTAAATCACTTGCAATGATAAAAAATAAGGGTCGTGGAAGTTCTGAAGGCTTGGAGTAGTAACAAATCTATTGAGCTAAATTAACGAAGTAAAGAAAGTTTTTCAGGACTGTTAATTTTTTTCCATATTGAATATATGGCAATTTCGATTTCTTAGGGCTTTTTAAATCACATTAAATGTGGGTACTATAGAGCGTACGAATAACGATAATACTTATTCGCCTCAATGGCTGAAACAAAAATTATGAATACAAATAGGTTTCAAGTAATGAATGTATGCCCCTTAATGGATTCTGAAGGACTTGGGAAACAATTTGTAAGGTAACTAATAGATTCGGGGATCCGCTATAATGCCAATTTGTATTCGTCACAATATATAACACAAAGATTAGGCCACGAATACGATGGAAAGACCAAGTCGAAGACAATATTGCCGAAAATGGTCTTTCAAAACTGCGCGAAAGACCAACGTGCCTGGAAATGTTTTCTAAGCTCAGCTTATGGAACGAAAGTTCTGTCCCAAACCCTAAGTAAAGTAAGTAAGATGGTGTACAGTGACTCTTCACGAAAATACAATTTATTTTTCTTATCAAAAAATTCCAATTAGATGTCCTAAGAGCTCGTCAGTGATTCAAAGCAGCCCTGTAAAGTTGGAAGAAAAATTTTTGGATTCAAATAATCAAAAATTTACAAGATTCCAATAAAGAAATTCGGTCTCCTATGAACTTGTAAATGAATTTCTAAAGTTCACAATTCCTCCGAAGCATATAAGTAACGTCGATACTTATTCGCCTCAATAAATAAACTGGAAACATTTTCTAATCGTATTTTTAGTCGATTAGCGAAGCATTTACCATTCAAGTAATTATACCAACAATATTTGTATAAGGTGTGAGGAAAATGATGACATATGGGTCTTAACTTATAGTCGATACATACTAATTTGTTCACGAGTGATCTAGAGCGTATAAGTAATGACAACTCGTATGCGCTTCGATCAATGTATGAAGTTGAAGGAAAATATAGGTCTATACAAGCAATTCTAATAAATTAGATCAGAAGTGACATAGGGTGTATGAGTAACCACAATACGTATACGTTACGGTGGCATAAATACAAACATTTCTCTTAGAATAAATTTATTTAGGAGTGATTTAGGACGTATGAGTAATGACACAACGTATACGCAACGATCAAAAGTCGTATATATAAATTAAAATAGGTCACTTAGATAACTTATTATAATTTTTAAGCCATTTCTTAATTTTAAATGGTTTATTGAATATGTTTTAAAAAATTTTGGCAATAAAAATTGAAATCCATAGCCCTTTGAAGAAAATATTGAAAATGAAATTTAAACAACAAGTGTTTCGAATTTATTTCTCTTTATGTGTTTTTACTAATCGTTTTATTCTATCTCTCTTTCTTACTGTTCCTTAAAGAAAAAATCTTTTATAAATTAAAATATTTTTAAATGTTTTTTGTGTATTTGTATATTAGAACGGTACAAAGGTAATGTTCGAACTTATTCTAAAAAGTAGTTAATCTTTTATAAGTTTTTTATTTGATTTGCCCAAAACAAAAAACGAAATAAACATTGTTTGTTAATTAATTGGTTATGGTTATTGTCCAAACAACAACAACAAAGTTTTGCTAAACAAAAATTACGAAATTCCCTGATCTCTGTATATGGTTAACCTTTGGTTGTTACAGGAACAATTGCCCCATCGCGTGATATGCCCGAATTAACGGCCGAGGATACAATTCGCATCATATTGTCGAACTTAAATTTAGTTGTGCCAGTTGTAGCGGCTTTGCTCGTCATTATAATCGCCATAATTGTTATTTGTATACTGCGTAGCAAAGGCAATCACCACAAAGGTATCTATAAAATGTTGAAAACTAATTTTTTGTTTTGTTTCGTTTCTCTCTCTCTTTCTGTCTCTTTTCATTTTGGAAAAATTTAATTGAATATCGAAAAACCACAAAACCGAATGTCTGTCTATTTAATTTTTTTGGTTTGGTTTACAAATGTGTTATGTCCTGATTTTATACGTTCGTTTGTTTGTGTTGTTTGTTATTTCGATTATTTTGGGAACACACACTCACACAACCACAAAAAATACAAAATTTATAAAAAAAATAATTACAACAACTGCTACAATAAATGCTTGCTTGACGTTAAATGGCTTCTTTGTATGTCTAAATCATAATCACATAAAAATAATGATAATATTGATGTTCGAAAATTTTTAAATATGTTTGAAAAAATTAATTTCGGAATTTAAAAAAAAAATATAATTTTTTATATAATTTAAATTTTATTCAAAAATCATATTTTATTATTTTATATAAAAAAAAATTTTTTTAAAAAAAAAATTTTTGAAAATTCTCTTGGATAATTTTTTCTTTTAAAAAATTTTTTTTTTTACATTTAAAAAAAATTGAATCAAACATTAATTTCGATATTTTTTCTTCGAATTAATTTATTAAAAATTTTAAATACTCAATTTATTGAAATATTTTCAAATTCACTCAAAAAATTCGAACATTATTTTCGAACATATTTCGAACACCTTCGAACATTCATCTATGAATCAAAATCAAACCAAATGCATGTATACGTTTAAAATAACAACACACAAACAACAACAATGGAAAATTCAACAAATCGACGACCTAAAAATACAACAACACGACGAACTCCACCTACAAAATTGAAAATTGAACCACCGAAAATCCCGAAATATCATAACCTCCAAAAGGTACCGTTGCCCCACTCGATGATGGCCGAGGCTCCGGCAATTTACATACACGCATTCGCCTACCCGCCTGGATGCCCGAATGGTTGGATCTGAACTTTATGGTACCACTGATTGCCACCGTTATCGTTGTATTTGTTGGCATATTGGTTGTATGTGTTGCCCTGTCACGCAGACGTTCCGATGACTTACGCGGTGGACAAAAGGATGTCTATTGTAGGTTGATTTGTAACACAAATAATAATAACAAATGTGGAATGACTGAGAGTTGTTCTCGCTCTCTCCGATATCTCCATACCGAAAAAGAGAGAAAATTTTAAATAATAATTTTTTTACAGATCCACTTTCTTTTTTTATAATTTTCTATTTTCTATATATTACTAACATTTTTCTTTTTCTTAATTTTTTTTATATTTTATTTCTGTTTTTTGTTCTGTTGTTGATATTCTTTTTCGAAACAATACAACAACGTTTATACGAAACAAAATCGTAATGCTATGGCCGCTTATCTTCCACAAATGAAAAAAATAGCGGAAATTTTACGTTTCAAAGGTCACTCATTAATTAACTGAATAAATTACAAAAACAACATAAGTAAATAGTGTTATTCAGTTTAATTTGTTTTAGTTCATGTTGTTGTTTCTTTAAATAATATAGATATATAAGTGTTGTATATATTAGATATGTTATAAATGTTATAGCATGTTTCAAAAAAATATTTATACACATACAGAATAGTTACACAATATACCAAAAAAACAAACACCAAATTACCAAACATATTAATACAAAAACAAAAATAGGCAATTTTTATAAAAAAAATTGAAAAATAACTTTTTACGACTGCACGCAAAACAAGCTAGGATATATAACAAAATCATTTTTTAAAGTGTTTCAAAATTAAGTTCTTTATTTCTTATGAACTATATGGGAAGTTATAAATAAAATCGAAAATATAAAGTATACTTTTAAGAGCATTCAAAGGGATTTGTTTCAAGTTGTCTGATATTATTTATTTAGGTAATATAAAATGCCTATAATAATATTAAACATACATACAAATCTTTACGCTATAACCGTACTTGAATGTATTAGCATTAGTAATTAATACCGTAAACATGTTGCATACTTTTAGGAGTAATTTTGTTAACAAGGTACGAAATGGTATTATAATGATTCATAATTAAAAAAACCCATTTGTGTACAAAAATTAGTAACAATTCCTTACACCCTTAAACTGATATAACCATTTTCGAAAATTGTAGTTCCTTTACGATGACTTCGTCGGCCGGAATTCGCAATTCCCGAAAATAATTTGTAGTATTCAATAGACGTTCCTAATGAAAAAAATAGGTCACGTATACAATAACATGTAGAAAACTTGTTTTGATATTGTATCCGATTCTGAATTCTTGGTACGAAAAATAGTTCTTTATAATTGATTGTATAACGCTTTTGAAAAAGTATTAAGAAATACGATATTTAAACCAGTAAGGAAAGTAGTAAATATGATACCCTTCAACACTTGAGTATTTTGTACATATCGAGCCATATTCGCCAAAAAAACGTAACCCTCAATTTGAAATTTTACAGGAGAAGGTTTTGTTTTAATAAATTCAGATTTAATAAAGTTACTATTTTGAAATTTAGAATTATAGTAAAATTTCAAATTGAAAATTACGTTTTTTTGGCGAATATGGCTCGATATGTATGCTTACAATTTTATGTCAATGTTCCTTCGAAGGAACATACTCATGTCTTTCTGCAACCTATGATAAATTTAATTTAAATCGGGCAGATTTAGAGTCGTCTGCGTACCATGTGACAAAATTTATGGAAAATGAGGTATAGCGATATTAATACACGCTATTCGGTACACCGCACTGTTAAAATTTAATCTCAATCAGACACCCGTTCGAAATACATATGGAAGCTTTGGCTGGATCTGCACCAATTTCAACAAAACCCAATAACGTCATTCAAGTCTCAATTTGATAAGTTGTGCAAAATTTCGTGTTAATCGGACTAACATTAGGAGTTTGGCTCATCATTTATGTAAAATCGGGCTTATATATATTTATATGTGAGAGCTATATCTAAATCTGAACCGATATTCACGAAACTTAACACACATCACTATAGACTTCATTCAGTACGCTATGTCAAATTTCGTGCAAATCCAAGGACTTATAGGAACATTAGTTGTGCCATTTACATAAAATCGTATTCTAGACGCATTTCAATACTATATGCCAAATTTCATGCAAACCGAAGGATATAAAGGGACTTTGGTGAACCGATTTTCACGAAACTTAACACACATCACTATAGACTTCATTCAGTGCGCTATGCCAAATTTCGTGCAAATATATATAGGGACTTTGGTGCACCATTTACATAAAATCGGAAGAACATATTTATAGGAGCTTTATCTACATCTGAACCGATTTTCACAAATCGCTATTCCAAATATCTTGCAAATCGAAGGATATAACGGGACTTTGGTGCACTTCCAACCTAAATTCGGACAAAATATATATGAGAGCTATATCTAAATCTGAACCGATTTTCACGAAATTTAACACACATCGTTCTGAACTTAATTCAGTACGCTATGCCAAGTTTCGTGCAAATCGAAGGATACATGGGGACTTTGGTGCACTATTTACCTAAAATCGGACGAAAATATGTATGGGAGCTATATCAAAATCTTAACCGATTTTTCCCAATTTCAATAGGGTATGTCCTTGGGCCAAATGAATGAGCTGTACCAAAATTCATCCAATTCAAATAAGTTCAAAAAATAAATTGTACATGCATGCATAAATCGACTTAAGGGGACCCCCCCCCATTCTTGGGGTCAACATTTTTCTTGATATAATTCGAATCTACACTAATTAAAGAATGTCCCTACAAAATTTCAAGTGAAAATCTCAAGAACTTTTGAAGATATAGCCGATTTATTGTGTCAGCATCAAGTGACGGCTGAAGGGCTTCTCAAACTTTAAACGAGTTTTTCTCTAAACATTTTTTTGCGAATGGCGGGCACGATAACTCAAAAACTAATAATCCAATCGGTTCCAAATTTTGCAACGTTCCTCTGGGAGTGTGTAGCTCTCGTATGAACTAGGATAAAGCCAATCGGTGAAGATCTTCCTTATTTTTTAACTTCGTTTTTGGTAAAAAAAATCGGCGATTTTCCAAAAATATTTTTTCTAAGGTCCACCATTTTGTTATTTTAGAGCGAAGTCTATAATTCTAGTTCATACGAGAGCCAGACATGTAATCTTTCTAACACCGTTGGAATTTTCGGATTCCGATGTTCCAGTGAGGAGTTATCATGCCCGCCATCAAAAATAAGGACTTTTCTTTAATTGCAAAAAACAACAACAAAACAATAACAAAAATTTTTTGAAAATTATGTTTCTTCTCTTTTAAATCTTCAATTATATATGTGCAAAGTTACAAACCTTAACAAGCATTGGTATTGATTTACCAGCCCATTGAAAATCTTGAAAAATTAAAATCGAGAATGGGGGGGGGGGGGGGGGGGGGTTCCCTTAAAAAGTGATTCAATGCTTATTCTCAAAAGGAACCATATGTCTATCTCGTTTTCTTTTGTCTGTTACAAACATATGCACAAAGACATAATACCATGTACCACAGTGTGATGAAGGGTATAATTACTTAAAAAGGGAGAACTTTATATGAGATCTGTTCCATTTGGAATTTAATAAAATATTCAATCAAAATATGTGCTGCTGATTTTTTCAACCTTGGGCTAGTTAATTGTGATTTGATTTTCTGCCTCAGAATCGGTATCGATGAGCATCTCGCTGTCATTCGGACAAATATATGCAATATTGTTTGCGAGGACATATATTTTTGCATAGAGAGCTATACATATTAGACATTGATGGAGACCTTCTGAGAAATATATTTATGCGAGGTCTCTACTTACCCTCTGAGAACTAAAAATCACGAAGAATACTAAACTTAATGGTTAAAAATGTTTAGCCGCTATTTTTATTAAGATTTTTCTATATTTTAAAACTCTGCAAGTTATACAACAAAAAAATTGTTTATGTGTGCAAGTCGATTTTTTTTAATTTAATTAATAGGAAATACTTTTTTTACGAACATTCTAATTCTACAAATTTGAAACTTGACACATAACCTCACTTTACACATATTAACGATAATATTTAAAACATTTAAATGTATATAAATTCATTGTTAATTTTTGTGTATATAAAAATATGTATTTTTTTAATTTCTTCATCTCATTAAAACAAAAATTGGCATACTAAGAAATTTTTGCGATAAAAAAGTATTTTGGAAATACGAAAAAGTATTTTATAGGATTTTTTTAAGAAATATAATATAAATAATGGGATATGAAACTAAAGAGAATTTTTTTTTTATTAAACCCATTATTTATATTAAAAATAGAACAATTTATTATATATATATATATATATATTATGTAATAATTAAATGTTGTAGAATAAAAATACCCCCAAATAATGGGAAATAGACCCCCATCCCCTACCCCCTTAAAAACAATTATAGAAATCTGTGAATATATTCCAAATATTTTTAAAACCTTATTGTAAACCATTTTTCTTTTTGAACAATAAGGAAATAATCTTATAACCCTATAAATATTATATATTTATATTATTATACTATAAACCACCAAAAAATATGGCATTACTATTCTACTTCTACCCTCAGATCCCTTTTGTAAACTGTTGTAAATACTACTACTACTCAAAATACTCCCCCATCTATTTCATTAATTTTGGATTCTATTCTTCACTATCTACCTTCACTCAAAATTTTTGTATTTATTATGTTCCCAAAATTAAATGTTTTTTTATATATGCATATTTTGTTGTATTTAAAAATTTCCTCAACTTCGTATTTTGTGTAACAAAAATTTGTCTTTTCGATAATATCATCCTACCCCCAACCCAAACCCCTTTTTTCAAATATTATTCCCAATCTTTTTATATACAAATATAAAATAAAAACTAAGATGCTTTTTATAACAAAAAAATTAATTGAAAAATATTTAAACAAATGGTAATCGCAAAAATCAAAATTCTCTCTCATTGCAATCATTCATGAATAACATTAATTAATTAATTGTTCTAATTAAAAAATAATAATAATAACTCTTAATTTTTTCTATTTCCTATACATTTGAAAAAAAAACAGTAATAACAATTAGAGTTGGGTATTTTCGTTTCGAAACGATTCGATGTTTTCGGTTCTCTCCGCAATAGGAACTAGTTCATTCATCTAGTACCACATAGTTCATTTTTTATTCAATCGATCCTGGTTCTCTTCAGTGAACGAGAAGGAACTTGATGAACAATTAATTCAGGAGGAACTAGTAGAACGAGATTAAAAAATGAACGATTGGAACAACACGAACTAGATGAATGAATGAAACGGTCCCAGTTCCAATTGCTTCTTTTGTGGCATAGTCCCATTGAACTACTTTGTTCCGGAACAACTCAACTCTACTATAACTACAACACAAGAAATCGCCTTTAAATAATAACAACAATTTGTTTGGTATATTTGGTAATTGTTTATTTAAGTTTTCTTTGGAACCAGTTGTAAGCACCCTGTAATTTTTTCTTAGCAAATTTTGAGCAAAAAACAAAAAAAACTAGACCAGGATTGTGAGTGACTTGTTGAACAAAAACCAGTTTCATGAAGTATGGCACCTATAAAATTCGAATGATTTGTGATTGTTTCTTTAAATGCACCAAAATTTATAAAAATTACAAAAAAAAAAATTCTATTGCAAAAAAACAGAAGTAAAGTAAAAAAATTAAGAATGTTTTAAATAAAAAAATTTTCGCTAACCAAAAAAATGAGAACTACCCACCATGGTAAAAGCATCTTCAGTATTTACAACACATATCTTTTTTGTTCTTTTGGACCCCGACAAATATTAATTCTAGATGATGTAGTTTATAATCAGACAATGGGACCTGGCGCCACTCTGGACAAGAGACGACCTGACTTGCGTGATGAATTGGGTTATATTGCACCACCTAACCGTAAGCTGCCCCCTGTACCCGGCTCCAACTACAACACCTGCGATCGGATTAAGCGAGGTACAGTGATAAGTAAGCATCTAAATTTTCCAAAACAACATTTATTAATACCAACTTGGATATATATTTTTCTTTCTTTTTTATTGTTTTTCCATCGATTGTGTTTTTGAGTTTGAGATACATATCTTTTTTTTAAATTTGCAAAATTTTTGGTTGCCATGACAAAACGAAAAACAAATACAAAATGCAAGCAAAGCAAGGATAAAATATATATACATAACTATATTTTTATATAATGTACAAACAAAAATCCTTGCATTATTTTCTGTATTGTGTAAAAACAAAAGCAACAACCATTAACAGGCTTTAGCTTATTTGAAATCATACAACAACTAAAAACTTGAAAACGACATAAACTCCAGCCGCTCATCAAATTCATTACAAATCAGTGTTTTTTATTAAATGTATTATTTTAATATAAAAAATTAGTAAGGCTTCTTTTTGGCCTCTTTAAGTTTTCTTTAGACAAAGTTGGTGTTTTTTGCATGCCATTTTTTTTATTTCTATATAAATGTTGTTGGAAATTTAGATTTTTATATATATATATATTATATACTTATATTACATAAATATTTATGTGTTTTTTTATAAATCATTTGCCCAAAAATATTAATTGGAAGTTTTGGTGAATGAAGCGACTTCCTGGGAAAACAGCTGATTATGTACATTTCAAAATTAAATCCTAAAAGTAGGCATTACAAATGACACTTAAATATCTGTTACTGGAATATTATCCGGTCTCCTAAAAATAAGCAATGCTCAATTTTAAATTATATAATCCAAAGTCTCCAGCTGATTAGAGTTTGACCTCCGAAAAGTAGACATTGCAATAGACATTTAAAACTATTTTAATTATTCATTGATAATTTGTTTTTCTTATTATTAGAATATGATATGCCGTGAAAACCCCGTTGAATAAATACTGCTGTTGATGTAAATTTCAATAAGGAATCCTTAAATAAAAAAACGTTTAATTAGTGATAACATTACTAATTAAACGTTTTTTATTTAGCCCCACCTTCTAAACTGTGGCACTGCTATTTGTTACATATTCTTTGATTAGAAACCTTATTTTTTGATAAATAAACCTAATAAGTATGCAATACAAAATTTCATCAGCTGGTTATGTAGGTATTAAAAGAAATCTCCTAAAAGTAGGCACGGCAAGTGACAATTATATGTTTGATATTAAAAAATTATCTAGTCTTTTAAAATTCGAAATGTTTTTGGTAATTTAATTTTGTTTATTAGAAACTTAAATGACTGAATAGGAATATATCCACTTAAAATCAATCTTAAAATAAGCAATCCTATGGGCAATTTTTTAGGAATTTACAAGGTTTCCTAAAAGTAGGCAATATTATTTAAAATGATCCTCCTCAATCCTCAATTTTGTTGCTGTATTTTCAGCAACAAATGGATTAAAAAGAAATTAATCCATTTCGCTCTGATATTAAATTTGTATTTTTGTTTAAAAAATGTTTTTAGGGCTCTCTGATGTCAAAAATGTATTTTTAATACTATTTTTAATTTTTTTATATAAAAATTTCAAAAAATATAAGTTTTCGAAATTGACCCCTACCATCGACGGGAAAGGGGAGTAGTTAAGGGAACGACTTTTGTTATTAGCTATTTTAGGATAAGACATAATACCTATACCGAAATTTGTTTTAAAATTTTACCTTTTTATACGTAAATGTTTTTTTTAATGGAAAAACATGTCATAAATATCGAAGAGAGAACCGAAGTGGGTTAAAGGTATATAAGTATGGATTTTTTCTTACAAAAAAAGGGCTCATACATTTGGATTTCAAAAAAAAAGTATTGATAACTCATTTATTATGAATATGAATATGAATTAAATGGCGTAGATTTGTTGAAATGTTATTGAAGAATCATAGACGTAGGAAATTTTTTGATGGCTCAGAGACATTGTTTTTTAAATAATTTTTATTGACGGCTCAAAGGCGTGCATTTTTAAAATTGAAGGCGCCTAGGCTAGAATTTTTATAGACTTCAATTTTTTAATTGAAGAAATCTCGGAGGTATATACCTGATTTAGACCAGAACTCTTGTGAGTGTAGGCCTAATTTTTAAATACTTTTTTGGAGAACTCTCGGGTATAGTGGTCTAGTTTTTTATTGGAGAACTCTGGGAATAAAAGGCTTTATTTTTTAAGTTTTTATCGGGTAATTTTTTCATTCGGTATGAAAGATCCAAAAGAGCAGTAAGATGCCAAAGCTATGGATTTTTAATTTAATTGGCAGATATGAACGAAATTTCGTCTATATATATTAAGACTAATGAGTACTGATTTTCTTTGTGGATTTTTAAAGTTTATTTTCATCCCTTGTGTGTAGTATCTTGGCTGGCCTCAGATTTAGGTGTGAGCTCCAAGTGTGGAATTTTACATTTTTTTTTTTTTTGTGAGGATCTGCGGTTTAGGTTCGAATTAGTACACATTTTGTGAAGGTCTGGGATTTAGGATCGTTTTTTGAAATCCTGGGCTTAAGACGCGAATTTATTCTGGAGGGCTAACCCAGCTATTCAAAAGGTATTTTTGAAGTATTTTCTGAGCTATAGGCATAGATTTCTAAATATTTGTTGGAAAGTCTATAGCTTAAAATTTTACAGTTCTTTTTTGAAGGAAATTCTGTGTGCGGATTTTTATGAATTATTTATATCATGACTTAATAAATAATTCATAAAAAAGAAATAATTCATTTTAAAAGAAATTTGATAATAGTTTTCGAATTTTACCTTTGCTTTCTAGAGGACTTTCTGGTCGATAGGAAAAATGGGCTGAGTTACAGGCGTGGAGATTTGTATATATGTAGCAGGGTATTTATATAGATTTCTTCTAAAAAAATCCACGTGGTTTTTTAAGTATTTTTCTGGATAAAGTTATAATGGATATTTACAGATTTTTTCTTGAAGGACGATCTGAGATACAGGAGTAGATTTTGAAAACAATTATCGTGAGGGACTATTTGACCTATGAACGTAGTTATTCTACGTTTTTTTCTGATTTTCAGTTATTTTATTAATGATAAGTTATTTTAAATAATGTTTCTGATTTTTAAGTGAGCTATTTATACTCTTTCGAGTCGATCTTAATGATGTAAGTTTTGAAATGAAAATTAATGATCTTTAATTTTTTTTTATGTAAGGGTGAATGTTTTAAACTTCATCTGATTTTTAAGAATGAATGTCGAAACGTGGACATTTTACAATTTTTGCTATTGTTCATTGCTATTTTTTGAGAGAATTTTTATTAGGGAACTATAAGAGCTCAGGGTGTAGAATTTGAATTTGAATTTTTTGAATCGGGTTATAATTTAAAAACAAAATTTAAAAAATTTTGTTCAAGCATATTCGGACACTAAATTTGTTAAAAAGTCCCAAGACTTTTACTTTATCGGAGATCTATGAACTTCGCATTTTTATTAAAAATTTTTTGGCAATAAAGGTTATATTATCTTTTTTTAATATGGAAAAATTATCAAAGCAACGGTCTTGAAATTTAAAATTATTCCCAGAACTTCCAATTAGTAGTTTTCAATATATACAAATATAAATGTTTATAATTTTATTTCTTAACTAAATACCAATGTAAATTTTCTTTTTTATTAATTTTTATTTTCATATATATTTTGATGGCTTTGTACAACGAATATTTTCTGTTGCTCTATATGTGTTCTAATTATCAATTGTGGTTAAACTGAAAATCCCCACCCAACAAAAACACACATCCAAACACACAAAATACAACAAATATCCTTAAACACCTATTGATACTCCTCCCTAATCCTCAACTGTTCCGGTTTGGTTCCAATCAATCCTCAACAAATGTATTATTGAAATTATGTCAAATAAAATTGAATATGGTATAAATAGCACGTGGTGGTATGCGTTCAAATCACTCAACTTGGGATCCCCGCCGACCCAATTTATACGAAGAATTGAAAGCACCACCAGTACCAGCCCATGGCAATCATTATGGTCATGTACATAATATCAATGAATGTACCTACAAGCATCCAGGTAGGTTGTGGTTTTAATATTATAATTTTTTAAATTTTAGTTGGTTGAGTTCTTGTAAATTTCATTTTTAATAAAAAAAAGTCTAGTTTAAAGAGTTTGATAATTGTTACAAAATTAAATACTAATTTAAATCTTAACTTTTTTAAGTACAATTTTTAACTAAGAAAATATCAGTAGTAGGCGGGATATTTGGGATATCATTTGTATTTTGTTATTGCAGTTTGTTGTTTTTATAAAAATTTAAAATTTTTCTTAATTTAATTAATCCGTGTCCAAAGAAGAATTTGCTCTAACCATATTAACTTTGGATTGAGTATTTAATTAACTCAAAAACTAGACTTAGTCATAATTTTATTGTGTATTTTTATTTATTTTTATTTCTACTTCTAAACCTCTCTTCATTTCACCTCATTTTCGTATAATATATTTTTGATTTGAATTTCCTTTCAATAATTTTCTGTTAACATTTAAAATTAAACTTGCTCATTTACTAATGGTCCTGTCTAACCATTTCCTAAAAAATAACACTAATAGTAAGTACTCTAATTTCAAAATAATATTAAAAAAGGTAATTTCGAAACTCCCTTTTGCATGTAAATTTCAATTCACCTTTCTTTGCATTCCATCATAGATCAGCTCATTTTTATTAAATTATATTCAAAAACACCAACAACAACAAAATGACACAATTTTACACTAACTGTTTTGAAAATCAAAATTCAATATAATTATACTAATTCAAATTTTTTCTATTAATACATTAAAACTTGACAACAGGCATGGAAGATGAAATCTGCCCCTATGCCACCTTCCATCTGTTGGGCTTCCGCGAAGAAATGGACCCCACTAAGGCAATGAACTTCCAGACCTTCCCCCACCAAAATGGTCATGCCCCACCCGGTCATGCTGGTACCATGGGACCACCTGGACATCCTGGCCATATGCACTCACGTTCCGGTTCTCAATCGATGCCACGTGCCAATCGTTATGCTCGCAAAAATAGCCAGGGAGGACAATCATCGATTTATACCCCAGCTCCTGAATATGATGATCCTGCCAATTGTGCTGAGGAAGATCAATATGTAAGTTTAATGAAAAAAAAAAAAAAAACAAAGAGGGATAAAAGAGGAGAGAGATAGAGAAAACATAATAAAATATAATTTTTTTCTATAGCGCCGCTACACTCGCGTCAACTCTCAAGGTGGCAGCTTGTACTCCGGCCCCGGACCCGAATATGATGACCCAGCTAACTGTGCTCCCGAAGAAGATCAATATGGCTCTCAGTATGGCGGCCCATATGGTACACCTTATGATCATTATGGCTCTCGCGGTTCTATGGGAAGACGTAGTGTTGGTAAGTGTTAAAAATTTGGACGAAAAAAAATTTTTTATACCCTACACAATTATGTTGTCAGGGTATTATAGCTTTGTGCAGCCCCAAGAGTTTGTAACGCCGCGAAATATTGGTCTCGACTAGCTGAGTCGATCTAGACATGTGTGTCCCTCCGTCCGTCCGTCTGTCCATTATAATTTGTAAACACGATACAGGCCACAGTTATGGACCAATCTTCACGAAATTTTGCATGTAGGATGGGTTCTGGCCAATGAAAACCCCTATTGTTTTTGGTAAAGATCGGTTAATATTCAGAGGATGAAATGGACCAAATACTAAATTTTTGTCGGTTTTTCTGGCCACTCCAGAACATCATGAAATTTTTCATGGAGAAGGGGATCGGGCCAAAGAAAAAGCGTGCCTGTTTTGATTAAGATCGGTCAATATTTAGCGGGTCAAATGAACCCTGACTTTTATGTGAAAATGACAACATTTGTATTCTATGGCGTATATATAGTCCTGAAGGATATAGGTCTGAGATATAGACCCGAGTTGATAGTATATCCAAGAGGAGTGATTGACCTTTAGATTGATACCAAATATATTGTCGTATGTACTCGGATGTGAGAGTTAAACTTAAATATTTACAAGTGCTTACGTATTCATATATTATTAAGTAACCCAGAAGGCGGCAGTATAGCGCTGATCGCTTTGAAATGTGTCTTGAGGTTCCAGTTATGATCAAGGACAATGCCTATAATTTCTGGTGATGATCAGATACAAATTTTGGGATGAAGACTTAATTTTTGTGTTTTTTCGAGTCGAAATCACAACACAACCCAAGGTGAAAGGTATCTGGACAAGTAATTAGAAGGGCTGTACTGAATATTACTAATATTTGTTGACCTCTAGTCGGTCAAGAGGGTGCAAATATCACGAAATGTTGCCCAAGCTTAGAATATAGAACCACAAAAAGTTATATTTTCGTGGAAGTTGTGTAGGGTATCAAATGGTCGGCTCCGTCCGACTATACTGCTCCGCTCATTGGTTAATTATAATCTGATTTTTAATATCTCTAGGTTCCGCCCGCAATCCAGGTGGCAACAGCTCTCCTGAACCCCCACCACCACCACCACGTAACCATGACATGAGCAACTCCTCGTTCAATGATTCCAAGGAAAGCAATGAAATATCTGAGGCCGAGTGTGATCGTGATCATGGACCACGTGGCAATTATGGCGGTAAGTTGTGAAGATTTTATTTCTAACTATATTACCTATATACATATTGTATAAAAATGCATATTCATAGCCTACATATACATACATATATTTATTATCCGACAACAGCTTAATCATTGTTATTAACTATACTGGCCTACAGGATGAAAAAAAAAATTTAGTTGTGATTTTGAAAATGAATAAATAAACTATAAACAACACAGCACGTGGTGGTACGTCAAACTTTTCTGAGAACGTTTATGCTCAAAAAATTCAAACTTTCAAATGGAACTATTAGATGGCCCAAGGAAACACTAGGAGGTCACTGAGTCGACCTCGTATCAAAGGGATATTCCCGCTATTCCATTTTTTGGTAAAAAAAAGTCACCAAAAAACAACACAACACATGGTGGTACGTCAAACCGTAATTAATTGACGCCTAGCGTCACTAGGTGGTTACTGATTGGACCTCATATCGAAGGGATATCACCGTTATTCCATTTTTTGGTAACGTGTTTTTTTAAAGGGCTATCACAGCCAAAAATTGTGGATTACAAAAATTATATTGGAGGTCTTTCAAGGTTACAGGTCTAGATTTTGGGAATGAAACATTTGGATGTCACTGAGTGGAACTCATGTCAACTTGTTATACCCTTTGGTAACTTGTTATACCCTTCACCACAGCGTGGTACAGGGTATTATATCTTTGTGCATATGTTTGTACCAGGCAAAAATAATCGAGATAGACCCATAGTTCCTTTTGACAATATGCATAGAATCACTTTCTGAGTCGATTTATGCATGTCCGTCCGTCTGTCCGTCCATGTATTTTTGTTAACAAAGTACAGGTCGCATTTATGATACGATTTGGATGAAATTTGGCACAGGTCACTTAATTGGCCTAAGGACGTACCCTATTGATTCAGATTTAGATATAGCTCCCATATATATTTTCGCCCGATTTAAGGTAAATGGTGTACCAAAGTCCCTATATATCTTTCGATTTGCACGAAATTTAGCAAAGAGTACTGAATTAGGTCCAGAATGATGTGTGCCGAGTTTCGAGAAAATCGGTTCAGATTTAGATATAGCTCCCATGTATAGTTTCGCCCGATTTAAGGTATATGGTGCACCAAAGTCCCTATATATCTTTCGATTTGCACGAAATTTGGCACAGAGTACTGAATTAGGTCCAGAATGATGCGTGCTAATTTTCCTGAAAATCGGTTCAGATTTAGATATAGCTTCAATATACATTTTCGGCCGATTTAAGGTAAATACTGCACCAAAGTCCCTATATATCTTTCGATTTGCACGAAATTTGGCATAGAGTACTGAATTAGGTCCAGAATGATGTGTGCTAATTTTCCTGAAATCGGTTCAGATTTAGATATAGCTTCACTATATATTTTCGACCGATTTAATTTAAATTGTACACTAAAGACCCAAAGATTGAGCGATCGTCATACAATTTTGTACAATGTACTGTTACTATAACCTTTCGTGTGTCAGGTTTTCTTGAAATTGGTTCAGATTTACATATACCTTCTATATATATTTTCGTCCGATTTTAAGTAAATGGTACACTAAAGGCCCATACAAACCCATGCACGTACAGAAATTAATAACAATTAATATCTAGCAAGTTTCCTTGAAATCGGTTCAGATTAGCTTCCAAATATAATTTCGACCTATTCATATTGACTGTACACCAAATAATCAATGGAAATAATAAATTTTCAAAATCACAACCAAAAATTCCTCTGTAGGCTGGTAAAATATATATAAAATCTATATATGTATTTATTAAACTATAAAATTATAAAAAGTTATATACCCGTGATTTAATCACTTAAAATCATCTATATCTGTTTTTTGTTTTATTAACTAATTTTTATATGTATGTACATAAAAAAAAAAAAAACAAAAACAAAAAATATATTTTAACAGAAGATACTAAAGATGGTGAGTGACAATCTAACAAAAAAATTGTATTGAGTGTGTTAATCGTTTAGTGATCATCACATTCCCTGTCACCAAAAAAATCCACCTCACCACCTATCACCATTTTGAGAATCATAAAAATCACTTCTCAAACAAAATCAATCATTATCGCCCCATGATATACTATTCACTCATGAGCGATCCGACTCCACATGTATACATACATATTTAGAAAGTAAACAAACAAATATTTAAAATTTGCATATTAGTAGGGAGGTAAGGACTCCATATATAAACAATTGGAATTCGATTTATATTCATATTTCTATATGAATATAATTAACATAGAAAATTATATTCATATATACTATGAATATAATTTTCCATGGATTTTTTCCTTTTCCCAAATTTAGATAAGAGAATTATCAGCTCTATTATATATGAGTCGTTTATTTTGAAAGCGGCTTAAGTCCATTTTAGGTTCTGATACAAATCTTGGTTTTCTACAAAAGTTTATAAAACAAATTACGTTACATATTCTAACATGTTTAAGGACAAACTAAATTAATACCACTTAACAATATTTTTGAAAAAAAAAAATAAAATCCAAATCTTTAAATATCTCAATATAAGAAAAAAATTGACTTAAACCACTTTCAAAATAAACGACTCATAAAGAGGTCTTAATAAACGAGGATCATTTGTACATATACATTTTCAGTAGGAAAATACCCAAATATTTGTTAATAAATAAATTAGAAAGCTTTCTATAAACAATATGAAACCCAATCCTATAAAAATATATATCTACTCTAAAAAACAAATATATAATACAAAATTATATGTCTAAAAAAAAATTTTCCCAAATATTTCGTATACAGATATAGAATTTATTATCACATAAAAAATAATTATCAATCAGAAAGAACTTTCTTCAAATACAAAAAAAAACATTTTTCGAGGTTATTTTACAAATCAGTCAACATATTTCACATTCATCATAAAATCGCATATATAAAAATTATAAACATAATTCAAAATCATATCAAAGTTATTAATCATACTGTGTTTTGCGCAATATATATTTACAATTTTTATTTGTTATTAATTAAAATATATAATTTAATGTGTGTGTTATAACAAAATTGTGTTTAAAATTTTGGTTTTCGGTTTCATTTTTCATATTAAAAATTATTCATTTTTATTTATTAATTTATGCACCATTCATATACATAGATTCATTCACATATCCACTATATGTATTTTGTAAAAATGCCATTTATTTATCATATTGCACCAAAAATTTCATTTTTTCTGTGACTAATTTAAAAAATTATATAAAGTTTTTGTTTTATAAGTTTCAGTGTATATTTTCATTTATTTATGTTTATTTTTGTTAGGAAATTAATGCACACGTAGGCTTTTCCGGATAATTGTTTGGCAGAAGTATGAAAGAAATTGTGATGGAGGAGGGAATTTATTTAGAAAAATTTGAGGACTTTTATATTTATAGCTATCAGAGGTATTTGAGTGGAAAATGAAAGTTTTTGAAGCTATAAGTGTGGATTAAAAATAACTGAAACTTTAACATAGTTATATTCACACTTATAAATTATTATTAATGTGTTTAAAAATATATTATATTGTTATTAAAATGAAACTATAGCTCAGAGCCATAGTTTCTATTTAAGAAAAATAGCTTTTATATGTGCATTCCATAGTTTGCCAGCGCAAGAGAAAAATTCTATAGCGCCACCCATAGGAAAATGGCAACACTGAATAAGCAAGGACACCAACCAGTGACCAAAATTCAAGCAGGCGTTAGTTCTATTCAGTGATAGATGGCAGTCTCGACATCTAGGATAGGTTACGGCAGACCAATAATCTACTTAGCTGGAATAAAAACAATAAATTGATTAACGGAACGAAAACAAGCACTAATGTAGTAGGATGACGATTCTTTGTGAAAGCCCAACGTTCCCTAGAGGAGCAACAAGAGAAAAAACATCGGAGCTATACATTGGTTTTAAAATAATAGTGAAAGTCTTTTATAGCTCCTTAAAATATTATCAAACGCATATTATAGATGGCTGTCATAGCAGATGAAGGACTATCATTATTAGACCTTGAAATTTTTTGAAGGAATATTAGTGTAGCAAATGTCGGCGCACCAGCTGGCCAGACAGACGAACGGACTTTTGTAAATCGACTTCAAATTGACGGAAACGGATTCGGTCCAAAAAAACATTCGGTCTAAAACCAATATTTCGATAAAGCAGTGTATGTATATGCCCTCATTAGCCATAAGTCTGGGGCTTAAGTAAATATCTAGATTTAGATTTTAGAGATTTTTTACGAGGTTATCTAAAACTTTTCGAAAATAATTTTTTGGAGCATTTAGCATGGTCTTTTCAGGAATTTGCAGAATTTTTATTTAAAGATTTTTTTATTTCTCAGCATTTTCCAATTTTTTTTTTATTTTTCAGTTTCTGTAATGATTTTTTATGTCCAAGTGTATTATTAATTTCATTTTCTTGAACTACATATGTAGGTTTTTTCGAACTTCTCTCAAGTCCACATCGAGAATTTGCTTTTTTTAACCTTTCATTCAACAAATGCATTTTTGATGTATTTTTCGTTTTACCGAAATACGTTTGGAGCTATAGTTAATTTTTCAATTTAAATTTTTTTGAATGATAATCAAAACTACAATCCCACATTCTTTTTAAGGATTATCCTGTAGATTTTAGTTCGTAATTTTCTTCAACTACTTCTTTAAATATTGATTCCAATCACATTTGAAGTCTAATCGAATCACATTTGGAAGTCTTATCGAGAGCAACTCATTTGAATTTGGAAAATTGTTATTGAGGGACACATAATGCTATTTGGGCATTAAGGCTTGGCTTTATCCTAGTTCATACGATAGCTATACACTCACAGAGAAACATGTAAGAAATTTGAATCGATTGGGTTATTAGTTTTTGAGTTATCGTGCGTTTAAAGTTTGAGAAGTCCTTCAGCCGTCGCTTGATGGTGACACAATAAATCGATCATATCTTCAAAATTTGTTGAGATTTTCGCTTGAAATTATATATGGACACTCTTGAATTAGTGTAGGTTCGAATTAAATCAAGACACAATATTAATTTTCTTGAAGCCGAGAATGGGGGGTCCCCTTAAATCATTCTGGAAAGTCAGTGCTGATTTACGAGTTATGGATGTAGATTTACGATGTTTAAATTATGAAAATTTACTTAGTTATAATAGGCATGTGTGCATTAATTTGTATATCAGGAATTGTAAATTATGAAAAAGAATTTTTAACATATATGTTCTGATTATTGTTTTTTATTTTCATTTTTATACCCTTCACCACACTGTGGTACAGGGTATTATGTCTTTTTAATTTGTAGTATACAAATTTCTTATGAGCCAATAAATTACCACAACTTAAGTTTTATATTTTTGAATTAAGTTAGTCATTGCATGTGAAAACAAGTGAGCCTTTTTCTGCAAAGAAATCATATGCAATATGTTTCTAATATGAGATTTTGATTTGCATTCAAATATTTTTTGCTCCCCCTTTTTAATTTCAATACAATGTCAATACAAAATTTGACATTTGTATTAATGTACATACATAATTTTTTTTGTTGTAAATTTGATCAACGAGCCCCACCCCGCATTTTATGTCACTACCCCATTGATATCTGCATAGCTATACCATAAATATTTCCATTAGAAATTATAAAGTCCATAATGTTGCTTAGCATACCAGTACATACTCCCCCCATAATTTTTATTTTTTTATTTCTTATATATTAAAACTATATAATTATTTTTATTTATTTTTTATTTCTTTTCATTACCACCAATATTTTTGTAATACCATATTTGTTGTGGAATGTTACTATTTTCCCCCCAAAACAACAATATTTTTCTTGCGATTTTTAAATGAATTTTTGACAAACAAAAAATCGAAATAAATACCAAACAGCTGTTAAAAGGTCTCCCATCCACAAGGATCAACGTACCACCGAAGAAATGCGTAAATTAATTGAAAGGTAATGTAAGACCAAATACCCCAGCCCCATATTTTGCATCCCCCTTGTTAAAACAGCAAAGTTGAAAAGAAAATCCCCCGTTGAAACACACAAAAGCAACAAATTAATATAGCTTTAACCAAAAAATAAACCCAAACAAATTGTTTCTATATATCTAACGTTCTCTTCCACCAAACACCAACACCACAATGTTAATCACATGTTGATCCTTTACTAAAAATAATTGTATTTTTTCCTTTTTTTTTATTCTCTTTAAATATTTTTTGAAAAAACAAAAAATATTTTCTTTTAATATTTTTTCCTTTTTGTAATAATTGTAATTGCAACCAACTAAACAAAAAAAATTCCAAACTCCTGTAGTCGAAGACATTTGTAAGTTTTGTATGTATGTTGGTAGTAATGTAATGTAAAACATAAAAGCACGTAAATTTATCCTTGTGTAAGTAGTAGTCGTAGTGGTAGTAATTTTGGTTTCTTTGTGTTATGCATGTGTGTGTGTCTATTTAATTTAACTGCATGAATATATTTAATTTCAATTTAATTTTTTTATTTAAATATTTATTTTTATTATTGATTATAATTTAATTATATATTTAAGTTAATGCAATTCACAGTTTTGAGATAAAAAAATATTTCTTATATTACAAAAAATATTAAAAAAAGTTATATAATCAAAATATCAAAATGAAAATAATCAAATATATTGCTAATAATCTCTATATAATGTTAATGGAATAATTATATATCAAATGTTAAAGGCTTTTATGCAAAACAAGAAGAAAATAGTATATAAACAATACACTCAAAGAAAAAAAAAATAAATACATAAAATAAAAAAATATATGATGAGAGTTAGGTACGAATATTTAATCTCCAAAAAGTCCCTTTTCCGGCTTCATCAATGAAATATTATTTATATTTGATCCGAAGTATCACGCCATTTATAACAATTTTTTAAATAAGAAAAAAATAACATTTTCCACGGGTATTTTGTTCCCTTAAAAAGGAAAAAAAAAATAATTCCAAATAGCCACGACATATTTTCAATACCGAATACTATAGATACAAATCAAATCGAAAACAAAAAAAACTATTAAACAGGTGAATCCTTTTGGAATTTTTACAACATAAGTCCAGATTACAAGAATATAATTTATTGAAAAAAGTATAGATCTGAAGATATGAACCTTCGAAAATCCGCTGAAAATTTTATTTTTAATTCACTTAAGAAATGTGGATATTTATTTTAAGCAAATGTAGTCCTGATTTTAAAATTTTAATTATTTTGTTGGAGAACTCCATTCTTCCTTAGATATGGACTTCTAAAATTCCACAGATGCCCTTAAATGGATAGATTTAAAAATCGGAAGTTAAAGAGCTTGGGGAAATACAAATGTCCTAGCGGAACTTTGAAGGCCCATATCTCATGAAATATGGAATTCCACAAAAAAATCTCTACAAATACCTATGGTAAACATTTCCACGACAGAGCCTAAGCCGAGGCTGGGTATTTCCTGGGAATCGAATTGTAATAACCCAGATCGAATTTATAGACCTCGAAAATGAGCATAATCCCTATAGACAACAACATGATGAGATTTTTTCTGTAAACCCTATCACATGTTGTTTGTTACGATCCTGGCATAAACTTGCAGAGGCCTCTTACGATCGGGATCTTCCAAAGGAAGACTAGATCGTAGGGTGGTCTCCTTTGAAATGATGTTTTTCCCTTAGAATAGCATCAGCGTCTGGTCCAAAATGTTCACCATTCCTGCAGTTCATATGGACTGAGTCCAATAATTTATCGAGTGAGGGTCCACTTCACATGTGTGGCCAACTTCGATCTGGGATGTATGAAGCCGAAGATTACAAATCAGAGAGACACATATCTGACACTGCCTATTACACTAGTCCAATACCGCCTGCATGACATTGGTATGGTCGTACAAAGCCATTGATTGTGAATATCCGGGATAATCGTATTACAGTCTTTAGCGACATGATGCATACCAGACCTTGTTTTCAGACATAAAAAAACTTCACTCATTTTATAATTCTTATAACCATTTCTATTTTTTTTATATCCTCTACCCTTAAATGTCATTCGGTTTCCAACACCTCCAAATATTTTTGGAATTTTCGCCAAATTTTTTCAATCGAATCAATTTTCGAATTTTGTGGAGTTTGGTCCAAATATTTTTGATATTTCGGGAACATTTGAGCCGAATGTGGCTCTAGAACTCACCAAATATTATAAGTATTGGTCCACCTTTTATGGTAGACACCATTCATGACCACCTCCCTAATTTCGGAACTTTGAGGAGCAAAAACTCCCTAACAAAGTCTCTCAATATTGTCCCTAGTTCCGAGGTAGCCTTTACAGATCGGAACCCGCATTATTCGGTATTTTGTTGATTTTCGATACGTCTTCAACTGAATAGGCTCTCATTTGATATTTGGGTTCTCACAAATCTTCTTACTTAAAATGAGCACTATCTGTCCTCGTTTTCGTAACGGAACATCCATTTTTGATATTTTAAACATCTCGGGTTTATGCAAGCTCTTAGCCCATTTTTGCAACCTGAGTGTCTGTAGTTCGGTATTTCGTTTTCTCCAGGCAGAAAATGTTTTCCTGGATAGTTTGAATGTCTACCTCAAGGTGGAGGGTACAAGAAATATCGGCCCTGTCGAAGTAAAGTTTTGTGAACAATATTTACCTGTAATGGTACTAAAAAATTTACACAATATTTACCTGTAATGGTACTAAAAAGTGTACACATTAGGATTGACATTAATGTACTTTAATATAATTTAGAAAAGCCTACTTTGGCTTCAACCGGCTCAGATTTTGATACACTTCAATTTTCCTGAACTTTTTCCTCTTAGATTTTAATTTTAGTAACTTTACTAAAAATCTACAATTGGTACCAATTTAATATTTCCAAAACTATGCAATAGTAATTATTTTGCAACCATTCAATCTAGTTCTTCGATAGATGACGCTGCTTTCAACATATCATACCCTACAATGATGCATTAGTTACGCACTTGTAGTGACCCTAATACTGTGATCTCTTTTACATATATATGTAGATATATGTTTAAAAAAATGAGATATATTACTATGGCCTAGAATGTGGATATAAAATTGTATTCCTTATAAAGAAATAGTTCAGAAAATACCAAGACGAGATTCCGTAAAACTTATGCACTTTTTTACTATCGCTTATAGCGACCATTTTCGCGGTCTCTTAACCCGTAGTGCAAACGATTTCTGAAAACTATGTCCATATCACATTTATTATTCCATTGTGATGAATTGTTCATTTAATTGGTCCTAGTACGAAACTTATTAAGGTAGATGAGAATTGTTGCGGATATGCGGACACATGGCTCTCAATATATTTTTCTTGAGATTTCATATAAATAATACATAAATGACACTACTTTCAACCTATTTACACCGCCTAATTTGATTATAATCTGCTCTGGATAGAGTTTCGATCTTATATCAATAATTCATCTTAGATTCTAATTTCAGTACCAATTAAATATTTTTACCGCCCCAAAGTATGCAATAGTAATTATTTATCTAGTTTGGCAACCATTCAATCTAGTTCTTCGATAGATGACGTTGCTTTCAACATATCGCAACCTACCATGGCGAATTATTTACACACTTGTAGCGATCTCGCAGTAATGCTACAATCTCTGTTACATATATAAGTGGGTATATGTTTAAATTAGAGGATTTATTACAAGATGACTTTTTTTTAGAATTTATTTTTATTCCTCAGAAAGGAATAAATTGTAACGTTTTATTAATTTCATTTCCAACTTAATGGAAACATGGCGTGATACTAAACTGGGAAATTTTTCATTAGAAATACAGGTTTGAAATTATTATTATAATTATTAATTAGGACAATTAATATAAACAGTATAAATTCAAAGCTATAAATTATGCAGAAAAATAATATATGACAAACAAATAAATACAGTTCAATAAATAAATTATATTCTAATTTACCTATAAATAATATTAACTATACTATGCGATCCTATAGGATACAATTGTAGGTTCGTTAACCACAAGCACTACAAAAAACCAAATTATTATATAAACTACGTAGTAAACATTTTGAAATTGTTTAATATAGCCTGTGCTTGTAAAGCTGTAATATTGACAAATAAAATAATCGTATATTTATTATAAAAAATATAATCTTTGAGTCATATTAATTAATAATATTTTACCTATTTTTCATTTTCATTTCCTATTAACGTTTTTAGAAACGAAGCCGGCCCAAAACAACTCCAACAACAAAGTGGCGCAGGATTCACAGCCTACGATACTATGGCAGTGTAATTTGTAAATTAGCTTCGAAGATGATGCGAAAAGCTAAGTATGCAAAACACCTCATAATCATTATCATGGACGTATAATGAAAATGAAAGAATTCAGCAGTAAAATTAAAACAACAAAAAATACATATTTCAAAATTCGGCATCACTCATTGGCAAACAATTTTGAAAAATACATAAAATTACAAAATTTTGCCAAACCTACGAAAACATCAACCAAACAAAATAATGACTACAAAAACATTTGAGTGATTTATACGAAAAAAGCAACACACACACAAAATTACTATTTAAATATTATACAAACCAAAAAACCATAACACTCATACACATACAAACGATTTTCTTTCTTGGAATGAAATGCTAAACATTTTTGAGGGGAAAACAACGTTAAGAGTTGTCATAAGAATGGAATTCGCGTTCTTTTGTAAAACAAAATTTTAACGGAAAAATAGAAATTTTTTCCCTTTGAAAAAAATTAGAAATTGTGCGAAAGTTTTACAGACAGACACATACACACATACTCAAAAACCAAAATAACGAAAAAACATCATATATAAGAAGAAGAAAAAACTTTGCATTTTTTAAACTATATAACAAAACATACATATATATATACATATAACTTATATTTAAAGAAAAAGAAAATTAAACAACAACATCAACATTTTTTTTTTAATGTATAAGTGTATTTTGATGGAAAAGTAATATAATTAATAGTATTTAAAGAAAATGAAAACAAAGAAAGAAATGATTAAGTCAATCTAAGTATGAAGTGAGAAACAAAAATAATACAAAAGAGAACAGAAAACAAAATAGACGATGAATTCATCCACAAAACAAAAATATTAAGAAATAATCAGGAACATATGGAACACCACAGCAATACAGACTCATATGAAATTAAAAAATAAAAACTTATTTTTTAGTATAACAATATATAAAATAATATACATAAAGATAAAGAAATCATAAAAATGAGGAAAAATGTTCAAGATTGGAATATAGAAGGACTACAGGAGGAGAGGGAAATTTTTATATTTCGGGTAAAAGTAAATTTTATGAAAATAAATTTTTTATAAAATTTATTTTTATTAAAAATATTTGTTAATAAAAATGAATATCAGCGAATATAAAAATTAATTTTTATTAAACTTATTTTTTGTAAAAATTAATTTTTATTAAAAATATTTTTTTATAAATAATAATTTTTATTAAAAATATTTTTTTAACAAAAATTAAGTTACAAAAATTAATTTTTATTAAATTTTTTTATTTAACAAAAATTAATTTTTATTAAAAATATTTTTTTTACAAAAATTAAGTTATATAAAAATTATTTTTTATTAAAAATAAAATAAAATAAAAATAAAAATTAAAATATTAAAAAATTTACATTCAAGTTTCTCATATTTTAAATATAATTTCTAAAATTTTTTGTGTGGCATAGAAGGCAACTTTGTATTCCATCTATTCCTGGAGAATACAAAATTCAGAAAGTTGCCATATCACTTACCAAAACTTCAAAAAAAAAAATTATTTAAAAATTGTTTTTTAAATTTTACAGTTTTCAATGTCATTCCCAATATTTTTGCGTGGCACCCAATTTAACTTGTTTACTCCTGAAGATAGAACAGATGTTCCTGGAAAATACAAAATTCAAAGGGTTGCCATATCACTTACGAAAACCCCTAATAAAAAATAATTTGTAAATGGGTTTGATGTCTCAATTTAAAAATTTTCTGTTTTTAATGTCATTTCCAAAATTTTTGTGTGGCACCAAATTCAAATTTTTACTCCTGAAGGTAGAGCAGATGTTCCTGAAAAATACAAAATTCAAAAAGTTGCCATATCGTTTACCAAAACCTAAATAAAAAATAATTTGAAAATGGGTTTGATGTTTAAATTTAAAAAAAATATATTTTCAATGTCATTTCCAATATTTTTGCGTGGCACCCAAGTCAACTTGTTACTTCTAAAGGGAGAGCAGATTTTTCTGGAAAATACAAAATTCAAAGAGTTGCCATATAACTTACCAAAACCCCAAATAAAAAATATGTTGGAAAGGGGTTTGATGTTTAAATTTCAAATGTTGAGGTTTTCAATGACATTTCCAATCATTTTGTGCAACACCCAAGGTAACTTTTCATTTCTAGAAATAGGACAGCCGTTTCAGAAAACTACAAAATTCTGAGAGTTACCATATTAATCAATAAATGCTTAAAAAAATCTTTAAAAAATAAATCAATTTAGATGATTATTATTTTTTATTTTAAATACAATTTCAAAAAAATTTTATGTGGCACCCAATGCAACAGTTTAGTCCTGCAGATAGAGCAGCTATTCCTGGAAAATACAAAATTCCCACAGTTGCCATATCGACAAAGAAATGCCTAAGATAAAAATGTGTTTGACAACTAAATTTCAATATTTTATGTTGTCAATACAATTCCAAACAATTTTGTGTGGCACATAAGGAACATTTTTATTTCCTAAGTAAGACCAGATGTTCCTGAAAAATACAAAGAGTTGCCATATAAATGTCTAAAACTTAAAAACCCCTATCTTTCAAGGTAATTTCATTATATATTTAATTTTAATATTTTAAACACTTCTGTCCTATACTCATGTTTGTAATTAATTTCCAAAGTTACTTAAGGTCAACAGAAAAATAAAAAAAATCCAGTGTTGCCATATCAGTCACATAAAGTATTAAAAATAAATTATTTCAAGAAAAAAATGATTTTTAAAATTTTCATTGATAAATCTGAAAATAAATCATATAGAACTCTGAACTTTTTGGATTTTCTCAGAGTTACCTGGGTTCAACAGAAAAATACAAAATTCCCAGTGTTGCCATATCAGTCACACAAAGTATTAAAAATAAATTATTTCAAGAAAAAGTTGATTTTTAATACTTTTCATTAATAAACCTGAGAAAAATCGTTTTCTATATAGAACTGTGGACTTTTTGGATTTTTTTGTAGATTTTGAACACTTGCCTAATTGTGATTGAAGTAAAAATATTTAAAAATTTTGAAAAAATTTTATAAATTATTTCCCAGATTTTTTTTTTTTCTAAACACTTTTGGCAACTTTTTAACCATAAAGACAGGGATTTTTTTTAAATAAAAAAACTAAATAAAATATAAAACAGCCTAATAAAACAGTGTTGCCATATCAACTAATTATTTCCAAAAGAATTGAGGTCAATATTTGATAATTATTTATAACCAATATTTCGAAATTATTTAAAATACTTGTGATTTCCGAGTTTAATTTCAAGCTTCCATGCTCTCCTTTGTGTCATTTACTTTCCAATCTTGAACATTTTTCTGAAACACACACACACAGCACAAACAAATTCATTCAATTTACAATTTTTTAATTTAATTTGCATTAAATAAATCAATAAATTATTTTTGTATTATTTTTATTTCTAAAAAGAAAAACAAAAAAAATTATAAAATTATGTTATAAACAAGAATCTCAACGATATATATGTATGTATGTAGAAAGAAATGAAATTAAAGAAAATGCGAAAAAACAACAACGTTATAAACACACACACATATTTATACGAGAGAGAAAAAGTCATTATATATACTTTTTTTATATAAAAAATAATAATTATTATTATAATACATATTTGCCATTTATTTTTTCTGCAAAGAGTTTTCTTAAGAAAACCTAACTCCCCTACCCCCCTTATAGTTTTAAGATTAAAAAAATATTTTTAGTTTTAAAAACAAACAAATAACTACTTTTTATGTTTAATTATGAAATCTATTTATCATGGATCCTATTAATATTATTTCGAAAACAACAAGATTTATTATTTTTAATTTGTATTTTTTTTTAATTTTTTGTAATATTTAAGATTGTGATGTTTATAATTTTAGTCATGTTTATAATTATTATAATTTGTAACAATGTAATTTTCTTTAATTTTTGTATGTAACTATAAGTGACACAAACAAACAGGTTCTACAAAGAAAATATACAGATATAAGGGAAGAAAAATATTTTATTTTTTCTTTAAAATGGTCATATAGTTTTTGTAAAAATTTAAAACAGTGCTTCCCCCTCCACGAACAGACAACAATACTGCTACACATACACATAATACATATTTTCTATAACATCACTTTCATTTTGTATTATACATTGGTATTATCCTATATATTTTCTTTATATATTAAAATATTCTTATTTTTAATTTTTAATTAAAAGCTTTAATTATGTTTTTTGCCCCTTCACAAAATATACTTTGATTTGTATTATATTTAGCTTTGTTCTATAATTTTGGAAATTTTAATTTAATTTATTTTCATTTAAAAGTGAAATTTTTCTTCACTTTCTCTTGTAACAAAAATACCCCCAGACCCCTTACCCCTCAATTTTATTCAAACGTATTTATAATTTAATCATGTGTTTTAATATTTTTTAGTTTTGTCAATTTTAATTTTTTGCTTTAAAATATAAACAAAAAATTGAAAATTTTTTAAAATCATTTTTGTTTTATTTATGATTTTTTTTATTATTTTTTATATAAAAAATAATTGATGTTTATTTTTATATAAAGGTTTGTATGGTGTGGAGATTTTAGAAAAGGAAACAAATAAGAGAGCGTGGAAAAAATTTAGATCTCATTAGGGATTCTTGTTCAATACTTTTTCAATAATGAAATACACGACATTCTTGACAAAAATCTTAATATAGGACATTCAGTTTATATACAGATTTTCGGACTACAAACTATCGGAGTAGACTGTGAAAGTATGCTCCTTAAATATTTCAATTTCGTAGAAAATTTGCAAGAATTAAAAAAAAATATTCTTAAAGTTGCAAGAATGGTTATAGTACTTTCCATTGTGAATTGTTCATATCTTACGAAGTACGTACATGTTACGGATTCATTTCAATTTTTTTAATTATAGAATTTCTACGTTACGATCATCACAACATTACACCTTTCTTGTTAATGTCATTATTAAATTTGTTAAAGCTGTACTTTTCTTATCTGTGTCTCCATTTATGGAAAACACTTTCCAAATAACTAAG